ATTGGTGTTCTGTTCAGGAAGTTGTCTCCTGTGCCAGTGGGTTTGAGATTATTTCCCACTTTCTCTTCTATCAGGTTCAGTGTATCTGGATTTATGTTGAGGTCTTTGATCCACTTGGACTTGAGTTTTGTGCATGGCAATAGATATGGATCTATTTGCAATCTTCTACATGTTGCCATCCAGTTAGACAAGCACCATGTGTTGAAGATGTTTTCTTTTTCTATTGTATAATTTTGGCTTCCTTGTCGAAAATCAGGTATCCATAGGTGTGTGGATTTACATCTGTGTATTTTATTCAATTCAATTTATCCACCTGTCTGTTTTTATGCCAATACCAAGCTGTTTTTATTATTATAGCTCTGTAGTAGAGCTTGAAGTCAGGAATGGCAACACCTCCATAAGTTCTGTTATTCTACAGGGTTGTTTTAGCTATCTTGGATTTTTTGTTTTTCCATACAAAGTTGAATATTGTTCTTTCAAGGTCTGTGAAGAATTGTGTTGGGATTTTTCATAGGGATTGCATTGAATCTGTAGATTGCTGTTGGTAGAATGTCCATTTTTACTATGTTAATCCTACCGATCTGTGAGCATGGGATCTTTGATCTTCTGATATCCTCTTCAATTTCTTTCTTCAAAGACTTGAAGTTCTTGTCATACAGGTTTTTCACTTGCTTGGTTAGAGTTACACCGAGATAATTTGTATTATTTGAGGCTATTGTAAAGGGTATTGATTCTCTGATTTCTTTCTCAGTCTATTTATCATTTGTATATAAGAGGGCTACTGATTTTTTTTAAGTTAATCTTGTATCTAGTCACTTCACTAAAGGTGTTTATCAGTTGTAGGAGTTCCCTAGTAGAACTTTTGGGGTCGCTCATGTGTACCATCATATCATCTTTGAATAATGATACTTTACGTCTTCCTTTCTAATTTGTATCTCCTTGATTTCCTTTAGTTGTCTTATTGCTCTAGCTAGAATAGGTATGGAGAGAGTGGCAGCCTTGTCTTGTTCCTGATTTTAGTGGAACTGCTTTGAGTTTCTCTCCATTTAATTTGATGTTGGCAATTGGCTTGCTTTTATTACTTTTATTATGTTTAGGTATGTCCCTTGTATCCCTGATCTCTCCAAGACATTTATCATGAAGGGGTGTTGGATTTTGTCAAAGGCTTTTTCAGCATCTAGTGAGATGATCATTTTTTTCTTTCAGTTTGTTTATATGGTGGATTATATTGACAGATTTTCTTGTTTGTTGAACCATCCTTGCATGTCTGGGATGAAGCCTATTTGGTCATGGTGGATGATCTTTTTGATCATGGTGGATGATCTTTTTGATGTGTTCTTGGATTCGGTTTGCCAGTATTTTATTTAGTATTTTTGCATCTATGTTCATGAGTGAAATTGGTCTGTAATTCTCTTTCTTTGTTGGGTCTTTGTGTGGTTTTGGTTATCAGGATGACTATGGCCTCATAGGAAGAAATTGACAATGTTCCTTCTATTTCTATGTTGTGGAATAATTTGAAGAGTATTGGTATTAGCTCTTCTTTGAAAGTTAGTAGAATTCTGTGCTGAAACCATCTAGCCCTGGGGTTTTCTTGGTTGGGAGAATTTTAATGACTGCTTCTATATCCTTAGGGGTTATCGGTCTATTTAAATTGCTTATCTGATCTCGATTTAACTTAAGTAAGTGGTATCTATCAAGAAATTTGTCCATTTCTTTTAGATTTTCCAATTTGGTGGAGTACATTTTTTTTGGAAGTATGACTAATAATTATTTGTATTTCCTTGGAGTCTGTTGTTGTGTCCCCCTTTTGTTTCTGATTTTGTTGATTTGGATATTCTCTCTGGATAAGGGTTTGTCTACCTTGTTAGTTTTCTCAAAGAGTCAACTCTTTGTTTCATTGATTCTTTGTATTATTCTCTTTGTTTCTATTTTATTGATTTCAGTCCTCAGTTTGATTATTTCCTGTCATCTACTCCTCCTGGATGAGTTTGCTTCTTCTTGTTCTAGAGCTTTCAGGTTTGCTGTTAAGTTGCTAGTGTGAGATTTCTCCAAATTCTTTATGTAGACACTTAATGCTATAAACTTTCCTCTTAGCACAGCTTTCATAGTATCCCATAAGTTTGGGTATGTTGTGCATTCATTTTCACTGAATTCTAGGAAGTCTTTAACATCTTTCTTTTATTTCTTCCTTGACTCAGTGGTAACTCAGCAGATAGTTGTTCAGTTTCCACGAGTTTGTAGGCTTTCTCTTGTTGCTGAAATCCAGCCTTAATTCATGGTAGTTTGGTAAGATATAGGGAGTATTTCAAGTTTTTTATTTTTTTTATTTTATCTATTGAGACTTGCTTTGTAACTGAGTATGTGGTCAGTTTTGGAGAAAATCCTGTGAGGTGCTGAGAAAAAGGTATATTCTTTTGTGTTTCGGTGATGTTCTGTAGATATCTGTTAGGTCCATTTGATTCATAGTCTGTTAGTTCCATTATTTCTCTGTTTAGTTTCTGTCTGAATGACCTGTTCATTGGTGAGAGTGGGGTGTTGAAGTCTCCCACTATTATTGTGTGGGTTTCTATGTGTGATTTAAACTTTAGTAATGTTTCTTTTACAAATGTGGGTGTCCTTATGTTTGGGGCACAGATGTTCAGAACTGAGACATCATCTGATGTATTTTTCCTTTGGTGAATATGAAATGCCCTTCTCCATCTCTTTTGGTTAGTTTTGGTTGGAATTCTATTTTGTTCGATATTAGGATAGCTACATCAGCTTGCTTCTTAGGTCCATTTGATTGGAAAATCTTTTTCCAACCCTTTCCTTTGAGATATTATTTATCTTGTTGAAGTGTGTTTCTTGTATGCAGCAGAATGTTGGATCCTGTTTTGGTATCCAATCTGTTAGCCCCCCCCCCTCTAATTTTATGTGCATTGGTGTTTTGCCTGCATGTGTATCTGTTTGAGGGTGTCATATCTTCTGGAATCCTCTCAGACTGGAGTCACAGACAGTTGTGAACTGCCATGTGGGTGCTGGACATTGAACCTGGGTATTCTGGAAGAGCAGCCAGTGCTCTTAACCACTGAGCCATCTCTCCAGCCCCATTGATTGTGTTCTTACACTGGTGTTTAGGCATCTGGACTTGGGATGATTTTAGGTCTAGGTGTTGATTTCTGCGTTTGTCTTTGTTGGATGGGTGTTTTGTTCCTTGGTTTTTCTTTTTCTCTCAAGTCTCCTGGCCTAAATGGCCAAGGGTTCTGGTGACTAGCATGTCTTCAGGTTCAGTAGGGTGTCCTCTCTGGGGTTTTGGGGGCTAGGGTTCCTAGATCTGGTCTGTACTCCAGTAAAGCTGAATTCTTCTGAAGTTGTAGACCAGGGTATGGAGCCAGGGATGAGGAGTTGGAGGGGGTGGAGGTATGTGCAGTCTAGGGTTGTTGGGTAGGTTTTAATAAGTGTTAGCTGGTGGTGGGCAGTGTCTTACCTGAGGTTCCTTAAGCCCACCTGGTCTTTGGTAAAGCCAAAGACTTCTTCCAAAGTTGTAGGCTGAGATATGAGGCCCAGGGGTTGGAGTGCAGTCTGGGGTTGTTGGTCAGGCTTAAAGGGGTTTAGTAGGCAATGGGTGGTGTCTTCCCTGGGGTCCCTAGGACTGCTCTGACCTCCAGTACAGCTGCTAGGGCTGTGAGCCCTAGTGTGAAACTGAGGGGAAGGGGTGCCTTAATTGTTTTTTAAATCTAAGAATCACTATAATAGTCTTTATAAACTCTCTTAAGGATATATTTTTATTTTGTTTTTTATTTATTTTTTAAATTATGGGGGGTTATGAGCACGTGTGTGGGGTATGTGCACATGTGTGTGTGTGAGTATGTGCACATGAGTGTGTTTGGGGCATGTGCATGTATGTGGGGGTATGTGCACATGAGTGTGGGGGTGATGTGCATGTGGGTAGGCATGTGTACATGTGTATGTATATGTGCACATGTGTGTGTATATGTATGTGCACATGAGTGGGGGTATGTGCACATGTGTGTATGTGCACATGTGGGGGGGCGTGTGCATGTGTATGGGAGTATGTGCACATGAGTGTGGGGAGAGGTATGCATATGTGTGGGGGTATGTTTCTAAGTGTGTGTGGGAGTATGTGCACATGTGTGTGGGGGTATGTGCACATGAGTGCAGGTGTGGGAGGCCAGAGGCATCACATCCCTGGAGCTAGAGTCACAGGCAGTTGTGAGCCACCTAGCATAGATGCTGGAACTGAACTTGGATCCTTTTGTGTGCACATGCTTGTAACTCCTGAGACATCTCTCTAGCCCTGGTAATTATTTTGTTTGAAGAACTTTTGTCTAAGCAAGATTAAGTTAATGATGCTGTTGCTCCAAGTATAATTTGAAAACTGATGGTTCACTTTTATGTCCCTTTACTGTTCTCATATGCTTTGCTTTGCATGAGGTTAAAGGGTTGAGCTTGGAGGGTGGGAGGGACTTTTCATAGTGATGACTGTTTGGAAATGCAAATTCTCCAGCAGAAGTCCCAGCTTGACTTGCATTTGTTACCTGCAGGTAAGACTGTCCCAGGCCAGCAGCTTGTCCTCACGGAAGGCAGTTCGCACCAGGAGACCTGATTAGTGCTAAGGCAGGACTGTGTTTCAAGTATGCAGAGGAGGGTGAATAACAGAGTAGTAAACCCACCTGCCTTTGAGGATGGCTGCAGGTAGACTCTGCAGCCTCAGCTGCCCTCGTTATCATGTTCTCAATAGCCACTTACCTCAGACTCAAAAAAGAAAATTCTGACATCTTAATTTCAATGTGGGCATTTGACCCAGTACTTGAGATAAATATAACCCTGTGTAGTACGGAGAAGGTTTAATGGGAAATGGTTGGCATTCTTTCTTGATAAAGGCATGGCGAGAGGAGAGGGAGGGGGAGAGGGAGGGAGGCAAGGAGGGAGGCAAGCAGAGAGAGAGAGGGAGAGAGAGAGAGAGAGAGAGAGAGAGCGAGAGAGCAGCAGGACAAAGCGGAGCTAGGAGAGCCCCAGCAGCCTGCCCACTCACTTGAGATTTGCCAGACCTGGCCAGCATGGTTGTCCTGACTCCAATGACTTTGGGAATTTATCTCCAACTCTTCTTCCGCTCCATCGTATCTCAGCCGACTTTCATCAACAGTGTCCTTCCAGTCTCAGCAGGTAACTGATGAGCACGACTTTCCTCGCTTCCGTCTTCAGGGGCAGAAAGTGGGGTGGGGTTGCTTAAGATGGTCTAGCAATATGTCCTGATATTTTCGACATTCTGCTCTTAGCAGAGGCAGGCTCGGGGGAGACGGTCACCCAGGATGCCTCCTGTCCCCCGAGCTTGTCTCCGAAGGCCCTTGTGTCCTTGCTCCGACCGTTGCTATTCAGCTGCTCAAAGTCAGCCTATCGACCATGCCCCTGCCTCTCCTGCCTGTTTGCTGCATGATTCATTTTGGTCAGGAAATGGGGAGCTGGGGAGAGAGGAGGACAAGTTCTAGAACAGGGAGCCCCAGGCGTTTCTATAGGTCTGTCTCTGACCTCCTCCCAGTGGGGCTTACCTCAAGATGCCAGGGAGCAAACATCTCTCTGGTAACCTTGCTGAAGGGCAGGGGGTTCTGCCTGGCCTCTGTCATTAGGGAACCCCCATGTCCCTTGCTGGCTCAGGACTAGGCTTTCTGTCTCCTCATCCCTGGCTGCTCTCCTGTTGGGCTTTCTTCTCTTCAGCTCTGACAACTATCTAGAGGTACTCGGAGTAGTGAGGGCTTCCAGAGGGTCCGTGGGCCTGGAGCCAGATGGGTGCATCTGCTGGGTGCAGGGCTGGGGAAGGGGCTTGCTTGGTCAGCCAGCCTGGCAACCATGGCTGCAGGCACCAGGCTGTTGTCTTGGCCCTGCCTGACCTGGTACAGGGGAAGTATTGGGTTACTGACAGCCTTTTCAAACCTTTCTGAGGAAACGGGGTATCTCCAGAGGGCCTGAGGAAGGTTAGCAGACCCCAAGGCTTGCTGCTTGTCTCCTCGCAGCTCCCTCATGCACCTCAGCCACTGCTCCAAGACACCTTTAGCCTATTTTCTAGGCAGTGCAGTTGATTCTGCGTCTTTGCCTGTGAAACACAGGGAGGGCATTCCTCTGGACCCACCCCCAGCCTCTCTCCATTCATAAAAACAGCTCCTGGGCAAGCTGTGTTGCCAAACCCTGCAGGCCCTAAGAGAGTGACAGGGAGATTGCCGTGAGGCTAATTATACAAGTGTGAGAAACAGAAGAAGTGGGAGACAGGAGAGCCCGGGAGAACACTGGGGGAGGAGGGAGGCAGGAAAAGCAGGTGGCTGTCACCAGGAGTGTGTGTCAGCATGTCTCTCACAAGTTCATCTGGTCTGTGGACAGGTATTTTCCTATCCACTGGGAAGCTTGGTCGCCGAGTGTGGAGACACCCCCCTGTGACTGCACTTGAGAAGCTGAGGAAGTGTTCGGAAGTGAGAAGAGAAGGATAGTGTGCCTGGGTTTCATAGTGAGACCCTGTTGCAAGAATCCCAAGAGGACTCGGTAGCTAATTTGGTCCAACTTAGTGTTTGTTTTTTGTTATATTTGGGTTATAGATTTCTTTGAGAATCTGCTGAGGACTTAGGAATTAGGGAAACTCGATTCTCTGGTTTCAGCTCCGCCTCTCATGAGCTGTCTGGGCGACAGTTGGGTATAGATGATAAGCACCATGGGGGGCAGGGAATGTGTCATCTTTTGCGGCTGTAATTATAACTATTTCCAGAGTCAGAACACTGTTGGATCTGTAGATGCTCCATAACTACTTGTTGAGTGAAAGAACAAAAGCTCCCCCGTCTGTAGGTTGTGGGGGTTGTCCGCATTTTTAAATTATTTAATTTGTGTAAAAATTATGTAAAAATTTTAATTTATGTCATTAAGGCCTTCATAAAGCAAGACAGAAAAGAGCCTGTAATTAGAACTGCTCACTTAGGAGAGAACCTGCACAGTGTAGACATCTCTTAGAACTGCTCACTTAGGAGAGAACCTGCACAGTGTAGACATCTCTTAGAACTGCTCACTTAGGAGAGAACCTGCACAGTGTAGACATCTCTTAGAACTGCTCACTTAGGAGAGAACCTGCACAGTGTAGACATCTCTTAGAACTGCTCACTTAGGAGAGAACCTGCACAGTGTAGACATCTCTTAGAACTGCTCACTTAGGAGAGAACCTGCACAGTGTAGACATCTCTTAGAACTGCTCACTTAGGAGAGAACCTGCACAGTGTAGACATCTTTTAGAACTGCTCACTTAGGAGAGAACCTGTGCAGTGTAGACATCTGTTAGAACTGCTCACTTAGGAGAGAACCTGTGCAGTGTAGACATCTGTTAGAACTGCTCACTTAGGAGAGAACCTGCACAGTGTAGACATCTCTTAGAGAAGGGTTTTTGCAGGCTGTACTGGTCAGGACACAACAGTGACAAGATGCAGTTTGGATGGTTCAAACGTAAAATCTCGAGTGAAGGGCTCACTTTCAGGGGAGTTGGGTCACCTGCAATGTTGAGAGACACAGGGATTTGTGACTGCAGGAAGACATTACCATCCTGTACTTGAGAAGGAAGTGGGGAAGTGGATTCCAGGAGCCTTGAAGCCTTGCAGGAGGGCTGCTAAGCATAAGTGAAGTCACACAGGGACCCAGAGCAGGGAGGAGGGGAGTTTTCCATCTCTCTCTCTCCCATCCCGACCACTTACTGGCAGAGCCTCCCATCATCCCAACCCCACCCAAAGCAGAGGTCTAAGAGTGGAGCTCCTTGATGCAGAGGATGGGATCAATGTGTGGGGCACAGGGGCGGGGCCTCCAGCAAGGGAAACACGACTGACCTGCCCCCATCATGCACAGGCTCACCTGCCCTGCCCTTCCCCTTTTCTTCATTCCTCCTTTCCTTCTCCCTCTTTTCCTATCCTCTTTCCTTCTTTTCCCTTTTCATAGTGCCAGGGATTGAACCCAGGGCCTTGAACAAACCCTGCAAGCACTCGAGCGCAGAGCGACACCTCTAGCCCCACAGGCCCTCTGGAAGCGTCACCATCCCTGGATCTTGTGATTGGGAATGTAGGCTTCAGACATTTGGCCGAACAATGAGGCCAACCAGGGACGCGGCTACCAGTGTAGCACAAGTACCTGCTGTCCCCTGCGGGAGTCACTTCACTTTGCTCCCCTCCTCGAGTGGCGGTGGCTTCCCAAAAGCCCCGCTCTGAAATTCGTTCAGGTCCTGTAATGAAACTGTTCCTGAGTCAGGCTGACAGCTGTCCTTTCAAATACCCGCCTACAATCTGACTGATCTCATGTCCCCTAGCCCGAATTTTGTGCATCCTTACTGCTCTGAAGAAAGTAAGCCGAATGGATGCTGAGGCGAGAGGCGCCAGGAAAACTGTTTCTCTGGGCCACTGTGTCTGCTGTGTGCCGACAGTGTGTGGAGTGCTTCGGGGTCTCTCCGAGCCCAGCGGGATGCAGCCTGTGTTCTAGGGGCTGTGTGGAAGCACCGACTCCGAGTTCTCCACGACTGTGGTGGAGGAAGGTCTCGCTGCAGGAAGTGCTCCCCCTCATGTTGGGGGGTAGGCACCCTTCCTTCTCTTCAGGAAGGACCCTACTTCTGAACCACGCAATAGCCCCAGCTCCCTGAATCAGGTGTGCATTACCCAACAGCCTCCACTGGGTTGCCGAGAAGACCAATCAGGGAGGGGAAAGTACCGAAGAGACCGAGGTTGTGAGGTAATCCCAGCTCTCGAGTTCAGGTGTCCAACACTACGATCTCGGGCTCTTGTCCCGGTCTGTTAATGTTGAGCATCATTCTTCTAGGCTCACACACTGCCTGTGGTAGATGCAGTGACAACAGGCAGGTCTTCTTTTTTTAAACATTTTTTTATTGTGTGATGGTAAGGGGTGCTCATGGTCAGAGGACAACTTACAGGAGTTGGTTCTCTCCTTCGCCTAAGGTCCAGGGATGGAACTTAGTTCTTCAGACTCAGTGACTACCTGCAAGCCATCTAGCTAGCCCGAAAGGTAGGTGGCAAGTCTGATTACAATAAGCTGAGCGTGATGGGAGACAGGAGAAGCTTGAGTTCAAGGCTACTTGGCCTAAATAGCAGGGCAGGGAAGGAAAACGGTGAAAGCTAGGGAATGATTTTGAAACCACCAAGAGTGGTCGAGGGGAACGAGACACGTGACCCTGGGAACGAACGAGACACGTGACCCTGGGGACCACCGTGACTGTACACAGCACAGGAGCTGGTTTTCATCGCGGTGACCATGGACGGTCCAGTGAACACTGAAGAAAGGTGTGCCCCCGTTGTGCTTCCTTCTGAAGGCCAGTACATCTCAGAACAATTTCTGCTCTGAACACCAGGAGCCCAGAGTGGACTGCCTCAGCCATTTGCTGGGCAATAAGCTACCATCCGTAGTGTAAAACTAGAGTTGTTGATTACTGAAGTTCATGTTTTGTGGGTCACCCAAGGGCCGTCTCATCTGGCATGGTATGGGCGACCCTGGCAGGCCTCTGTCTGGATCTATAGACCAACTTGGTGCTAGTGCCCCCTTTATAGGTAGAGCTCAATGACTGTGGCTGACAGGAGGATAAGGCATAGGCCCAAAGGTAATGTTTCCGGAGGAACAGACCTCCTGTAAGATGGATGTGATATCCACACACACCCTGGATGGATGTGGAGCCATGCTCTTACTTCTTTGAAGAAGATGCAGAGGCATGGAGAGGTTAAACAGTGTACTTCAGGCCACACAGTTGGGCTGGAGATCTGGAGACTGGAATCCTGCCTCCATGTCCAGGGCTCGTCAATGTAGACCAAGCCTGCTGCTGCCTGGATACTTGTACAAGTGGCCTCTTTAGTACTGCATGCCTTGTCTCCCAAGTGCTAGGATTACAGACACGCACTTCCATGCTCAGCTTGACTGTTGCTTTATAAACACATGCATGACTTGCCCAGCCACTCATTCATCTCTCTGGTGCTTCTATTGTAGTAGGGGGCTAAAAAAATCAGACCTAAAGGATGTGCTAGTGAGATGAGTTTGAGTCAGGGTGTTTGGGAGGATGGGACCCCCCGGTAACCAAGGCAATTCTTTAGGCCTGTGAGCCATCCTACCCTCTGCCTGCATGGACACATGCTCCTCTTCTGTAAAGGATTTCCCAG